TATAGCTAATCGAGCTAACAATGCCACGTATGCAGGAAATAATTGATTGATCCACATGACCCTGAGTAGAAAAGTCAAAATGTTTTTGATAATTATTCACTTAGAGAGGCCAAAGAATTGTTCTAGACCAATTTTGAAAAGATTGGATCAAAATCCAGAGACTAGTTCAAAAAGTAGGGTTTTGAAACATTTATCTATTACAAAAAAGGATACAGATTTTTAATAAATATGTATAGGCAAAATTGTTTGTCACATGGTAATACAATAGGCTCTTGGTGAAAATTGTAATAATATTGTAATAACATGTAATAATGTGTAATTTTTTGAAATAGCGCCCCCCAGTGGTCAAATCTTTTGAAACTCGACTGGTTGTTAGAAAGTGGCTATATATAGACATCATTCAAGTTTCGTCATGATTGGTCAATGATAAGCCTGTCAAATGGCCTGCTGAATGCTTATTGGCCGATGGCGACCACAAATTTCGATGTATCCAAACGTCTTTAAATGCACACTTGTAGACTGGCGAGAGGATGCTGGATGCAAAGTTTCAGCTTGATAGGATGTTCAGAGGCAGAGAAAATGCCCTGTTTTTTTTGCTCCGCCCCCTAATTACGTATGCGCACACAAATCGAATGGCTACCTCAGAATGGGCTACTGACATGGCCTGTCAAGTTTGAAATTTTTTGGCTGAAGAATTCTTGAGTTACAGATTTTTCAATTAATTCTGAATTATTTTGAATTTATCCAGAGAGGTTCATTTGCATATGGCCGACATGTTGTATGGAAAACTTAAAATGTTTTTGATAATTATTGACCAGGACATTCTTCTGAATTTTTTGACATCAAAAACATGAGGATTGGGCAAAGATTGGAGGACTAGTACACAAAAGTAGGTTTCGCACATTTTGCAGTATTGCGAAAAATCTAAGTGGGCGGAGCTAAATAATCAAAATAGCCAAAAGGTTTATTTGGACCCAGAGAATCAGGAAAAAAATATGGCTTGTCTGGCAAAAATCTGGTTTAAGAGATATAGACCCTAACGCGTTGACCTGCGCTATAGCGCCCCCTTGTGGCCGACAGGGCTGATTTCTTGCGCCTGAGTAGCAGGAGGGACTACTACCTATTGACTAAGTTTGGTGTCTCTAGGACTTACGGTTTGGGCTGTGCGTTCCGTTTCAGGGCAGAAAAATAATAATAATAATAAGAAGAAAAATCTTGACAATTTCAATAGGGTTCAATGCATTGCATGCTTGAACCCTAATAATAATAAGAAAAATTCTCACAATTCCAATAGGGTTCAATGCATTGCATGCTTGAACCCTAATAAGAAAAATCCGCACAATTCCAATAGGGTTCAATGCATTGCATGCTTGAACCCTAATAATAAGAAAAATCCGCACAATTCCAATAGGGTTCAATGCATTGCATGCTTGAACCCTAAATATAGCCGCAAGCGGCAATGAGCGGGTTCAAGCACGCAACAGCAGTACGGGCCCTTCTGCAGGTTTAG